TTTGTTATATTTCATTGCACAAAGTTTAAAGGCGGCTTCTCGCTAATTTTAAGTAAAAAAAAGATCTATCTTTTTTAATCGAGATAACGACTTGGGGCCTATTTACACGAAGGTGGGGGACCCCCGGGTAGGTGAGGTAACCCGCTTAGGTGGGGTAACCCGCGTGTCCATATAATAGGGAGCTTTAGCAACGACGACGGCGACGGCAAACAGGACGTCAAAAAAGCAATAGGTTTGTTACGCAAAACAACAACTTTGCACGCTTTTTTGTACATTTCTTTACCGTCCTTGCACGATTACGACGTGAAAATGCCTAATTGCAAGTTTTATGGAGGACGTAAACAAGCGACGGCGAATCTCTTTTTCCCTCTCTAAACGTGAGTGCGGTACTCAAGAAGTCAAATCTAGGGAAATTCGCCTACACCGTTGCTATTTTCAGCAAATTGGAATAAACGCGACAAAGATTGAAAAAACGGGAATTCATTTAAAAACTGACGTTTTCGCTGCAGTTGCCGTCGTCTATGCTAAAGCTCCCTAATATCTCATTTTAATTTGATCATGTTTACGTGATAGGTGGAGTGACCCACCAAATGTTACCTCACCTAACTTGGGTCCCCCACCTCATGTAAACAGGCCCTTAAAGAGGCTTAAGTTTTCCTCTTTCCTGCCATTCGCCATTTTAGAAACGAGAAGGGATCGAATTGGAGCCGAATGGGAGTCTTTCTGAGAGAACTACTGGGCATGCGCTGGTCAGCTATTGGCCAATTTGTCGCTAGTAACAGTCCCAGAAGTCCTTGCGAAAGTAAACTCGGCCCAATTTCCTCGTTTCTGAAGTGGTGAATTTTTCTCTTCCGTTCACATTTTTTTCTTTTTAGTTTTTGAACAACATGTAAGTAGAGACCAGTTCGAAACTAGTACCGAACCTGGGCCAAATTTGGGATACTGGGTACCATTATTCAAGTGCCTTGCAAATGTTCGATCCCCAGATTGCTGGGTGCGAGAGCAGCAACAACAACGCTTTATACCACCCATGAGTCAAACCTGTCTTGCAACAAATCAGATTGTTGCAGGTTGCGAAATTAGTGAATAGTTCTACAGCTTTATGCAACCTGCAAAAACTTGACTCGTTGCAAGATAGATTTGATTCGTGAATGGTAAGACGCGCAAAACAAGTTGCACGTTTTTGTTGCAAGTTTCATCGTAGCTTGAATAAATTTGCAGGCCATGCTTTGCCAATCATTTGCCTGTGTCTCGCCTCGTAGGGAGTGTGAATGAGGATGGGGGGGCTCGATTCCAGTTCAGGAGCAAACTGAGTAAGACCGGGACAAATCCACTGTTTTCCTCTTGAAAGTGTGCGACGCCTCATATTCCTTTCACCGTAACCAACACTATTTGTCTATGAATCACAGGTTATGAAATTAAAAAAAAAAATGGTTTTCAATATTCTGCTCTAGTATAATATATATTAATTTTTATTTCATCTTATAAACTCATCACAATTTTCATTGGATATCTACAATCCTTGCGAAGTAACATATGAATATTTAAAATAAGTTACAAAGATAAAATGATAAAACATTATGGTTCATAGAGACATGACTCCGAAAAACATGCAGTAGTTAAAACTTTTGTGGAAACGCATTTTTTTGACATTTCCAAGAAGTTACACAATCATTTCTCAAATAAAAACATCTGCACCCAGTTGTTCCATGCTCTGTCCATAAGTAATCATTGCTGACTGCCTGATTTGATTTATAGCCAGTCATATAAGTTCATATAAAGAGGGTATCATGCTTAGAAATGAAACTTGTAAACGTTCAGTTAGTTTCTGGGTAAAACGTGTTAACAAGTCACACATTCCTTTTAAAATTCCCAGTGCTTTACATCACATAGCCTGGGAAAACGGCCGACATTTCGCGATACAACCACTGTTTTGCCCGCGACATCGAAATTTCTTCGCTCTTTTCTCAGACGTCATGTCGCGGGGAAACCATTGGTGGCATTACAAAAATGTAGGCTGTTTTCTTAGGCTTTACATCACAGAGCAAAAGGAATATCTGTTTAACCATAGACAAAAATTCCATAAAAAGGCTATCATACTACACCTTCCAATAGTCACATTTTTTGTTTCTAGATGCTATACACTGTAATGGTGATAAATTGTAAACAGAGATTTGCTAACACACTATTGGAGCTTCTTTACATGAACTCGGATGACTAACATAACGCCTTACATTGAACAATTTTCGTTTTAAAATTAATAGTGAGAAGAAAATTTCGTCTATTTCTGCAGTTGTTAAATTAAAACAAGATCAATATAAAATCACAGTGATTCTTTAACAATGCCTCAACAAACTTGAGATAAACCATAACTGGAAAAGCTATGACTTATTTATGTCATAAAACACTCTAAAAATGTTTCTTTTGACTAAAACACCATATATTATCTTTGATTTTATAAATTAATATTAAATAAAATCTGCCTAAAGATACAATAAACAATGAGCATCAATTCAATATTGCAATTATATAATACTTGGCAAAAAACCCCATAACATTAGCAAGAAATTTCGTAGCCCTATTGATAACATTTTAGGGAATTTCTTGATAAATTTTTATGGGAGTTCACAATACTCTTTTACTCCCAACACAGCCCTAAATAAAAAGTCAAGGACAACATTCGAATATTCGAAAGAATAGAATGACCCTTAAAAAGCACTATTTTTTCTTTCAAAAGGTTCGAAGGTGAAAACAAAGTATAAATCAGCTTAAACAGTTCACACCAAACACTTTTCGGAATAACCAAATTTAAAAATTAACTTCTAAATGTCCAAATAGAGAATAGAAGTGATGACGTCACAAATACTACAAAATTTGTGAAATTATGGGATTGGTTGGCATATCCAGTAAGAACAAGATGAAAAATTTTCACTCACCAAAAATCAGCCTGTTGGGGCAAGCTGGTGAGATCAGATATAAGCAACATTATGCAAGGCAAGTATAGATGAATTTGTATGGCGTTATCAGGTGCTTATATCTACCCACCAATTAGCATTGACAGGCTGGTTTTTGGCATTTAGGAGTTTTTTGCATCTTATTCTTTCTGAATATGCTAACCAATACCACAATTTCACAAATTTGAATTTGATGTCACGCTTCTCTATTGAGCTACAGTGTATAATTGCGAGGAAACTAAGAACCAGAATAATAAAAGCAGTGTTGCAGGTTGAATGACGTTGTTGTCATTTTCACACTTGAAATAGAAAAACTGTCTCAAAATCCATCTAACTAAACAGATAAACAGACAGACAAAGTCAGATGGATTATTTGATGTCTACAATGAACACTGTTCTGAAATCAGATTAAGACATGCTGAAAATCTCTTCAGAGATGGATAATCCATCTGCAGTCTTAAAACAGCCAAGACTGTGCCAAATATAAAGAACTACATGCATACTGTAAATAGAGAAAAAAAGCCCAGGGTAACCGTGAGGGTAAGAAAGATGAATGAGTTTCTGGTGTAGCATGTTTCATGACTTTCATGTGGAATGGCATAGTTAGATGTGCAGCTGTATGCTCAATGAAATGTAATAAGAAATCAGCAAATTAAGAGGCACATATTGTAAATTTCTTCGAGACATTTATTATATTCTGCTTAATTTCACCATCGGGCAAGTCGTGCCACATGCCATTACCCCAACCAATGCTGCCATTTGCCCTCACCATTGGGCTACCGGGTAATCTTACATTTGTAGTTCTCACACAAAAAATTAATAATTTTATGCTAGGCACACTGATGTTGTGTTAGTTGGGGGAGTGAAATATAGTTTGGTGTGATACCATTTAAAATCTTCGGTGAAAGTTTGAATCCAAATAATTGTGTGAAATATATTAACATTGAGATAAATAATATTATTTACATGTATATTGATAACATTTTTGAGAATCAAGCAATATAATTTAACTCAAAGAGTTTGCAGTTGATTCAGGACTGTCATTGGCACTTTGATTTTGAACAAAAAAAGCTCGGCCATTTCAGAGGCCATTCATACTCATTTGGAACTTTGCCAGATACCTTTTCCTCAAAGACCCAAAACAGAGGAAACCAGACCCTTGTTCTTTTACTGTCGATGCACTTTAATGCACGTGTATTAGCCAGAGTGTGATAATATAAAAACAAACGAGAGGAAATGTAGAAAGCGATCACCACATCAATTGAATAGTGTTCATGAGCAGCCAAAATAAAAAATATTCCAAACATGTTTAGAACCCAGCAACATGTGTGCAGGTAGTACATATGGGAGGGCGTGTCTGAAAACCAAAATGTATGTAAAAACAAGTTACTACTGTCGTATATTCCAAAATAAGAGAAAGTACAGAAACATATTTGGTACAGGTCAAAAGTATATTCAGGTTCAAATCTTTTATTAACCTTCATGTACATGTACTCCTAGGTTGATTCTCAATTCCCAATGTTCCCTAGTCCTAATCCACGAATAATAGGGCTAGGAGAAAAAGCAAATAGAGAATTCAACCTAGGTTAAAAAACTTTAACCTGTAACAGATACATATGTAACAAAATAATTCAGTTTGTCTCAACAAAATTACATTGATAAGTGATGGGAAAACATAAAAAATAAGGGTAATAAAGATCAAGTTTGACTGATTAAAAAATGGTATATTCCATTCTTTCCTACATTTGGTAGACATTTGAGAGAAGTGGCACAGTTTCCCATATTTTTGAACCAGGAAAATTAAAAGACATTTTAAACCTAAATTGGAGGATACTCTTGGTCTAAAAAAAATTCAGTTTACTAGCAAATCTTGTATTTTTGTGCATACTGGATGCTGTAGTCAGGGCATCAAGCAAGATATCCTGGAATGCTATCAGTTTCATTCCTTATACTACAGCTGTATGTACATGTGTAAGGCAGCATGTTTCTAGCTTATATAATAAATATATATTGTCTATAATTCAAGAACTGCTAAGAGCTTGTAATAAGGACCAGTACTCTCTCTAGGATGTGCAAAGAAGATGCTTCGGAGACATTTGTCTTGCTTATATTAATACAAAGACAATCTAGACTAGTATTGCTGGCACAGCCTCAGGCAATAAGAATAATTATAGTTTCAACCTATCTGGGCGAAAATGTACCTTTAATGACCATGCATGCATGGATTAATACAATAAAAAGCATCACTTACATTCTGTGATAAAGAAGTTTAAGAGAGTAATGGAAACCATGTGGCCACTAAACATGTAGTCCCCACATGTCCGCACACCATTCACTGACAGTCCAAACCCACACAAGATCTCAAATGCCCTTGCTATCTTTGCCCAAGTGTCTCCATACAACTAGAAGAACACAAATAAGCAATAAAAAGATTGTTATCTTGTCATGCCAATGCAACTGATATTTGACCTCTCAGAAATTCTATTTCTACATGTAAAATTAATCAAATTGTGATCAATTAAATTGATTAATTTAAAGCAACATGAAAACCCTTTTTGCTGTGTGTGTACCACGGCCACCCTTAGGAAGTGGCAAGGTGACTGTTACATATGGGGGGACCGCTATATACAGGTCAACTTTGCAGAAAATATAAGGCAACTGAAAACTTTGGGAAGTTGTTCGGTGACAGTATTATACAGGGTGACTAAACACCATAGACAGGGCCGTTATATACAGGTTTGACTCTGTATGTTATTAGTCAAAATTAAATTTAGGTTAAAAACTTTCAACCTAGGTTGATTCTCAATTTCCTTTGTATCCTAGCCCTAATTATTCATTTACTAGGGCTAAAGACAAAGAAAATTGAAAATCAACCTAGGTTGAAACATTTTAACCAGTAGTTATAGAAATGGTTGTTGCGGAGCACTTTTCTGGAGCAGCTAATTTAAATAAAATTGATAAAATTCCTGAATATGTGGGACAATTCCGTAAAGAGTGGCTTTTTATAAGAGGGATTAATAAGGAATGTGAAATATTTGTAAAGAAGTTAGATGATGAAGGAAAAATATTTAAAAGTCCAAAAGCTAATAGAATTAAGTTGTTATTTAAAAGATTTTTGAAAGCTCAAGAAAGAGGTAGACTTCAAGATATTAGTAAGTTTTATTTTAAAGAGGATGATGTTAAATTTATAGAGTCTTTAGAAATTAATTTAGATGATTATATGGATATATTTCACATTCCAGGTAGTTGTATTTTTGATAATGAAAAGTATGAAAATGATAATACAGGTTTAAAAGAGTTTAATGAAATTTTTAGTAGATTTAAAGATAAAATAAGAATAGAAGAATTTACTTATAAAGATTTTAAAAATAGTCTTAATTATTTGAGTAGTGATAGTGATAGTGATAGTGATTATTAAATCTTATAACATTTTTTTGTTATAAGATTAGTGTTTTAAAGATATGTTAGAACTAAAGGTTTTTATCCAACAAAATGGGATCCAGATTATAATTTAGTAGGAGTATTAGAAGATATTATTTATTTTTTACCAGGTTGATTAAAATTAATCTAATCAAAATAATAAAATGGAACCAAGATCAAGAGAAACTACTCCTACAAGAGAGGATTTGGATTTTATAGTTGATGATGGTTATAGGCATGATGTGGATCCAGATTATGTTCCAGATGAAAAATATCTTGTTAGTGGAAAAGAATTTAAAAAGTTAACACGAAATGCTAAAAAACTAGGTGCTGAATCGCTTGATTATTCAACACGAAAAAATAATAAATACATGGCAACACTTCCAAGTGGAAAGAAAGTTCATTTTGGATCACCAAATTATCCAGACTACACTATTCACAAAGACAAAGATCGACGAGATAAATATCTTGCTAGAGCTAAAAAGATTAAAAATAAACAGGGGGAGTTAACTTATAATAATCCTGAATCATCTAACTATTGGAGTGTACATCTACTCTGGCCAGAAAAAAAGTGAATTAAAGATTTGATAAAATATAATAAAATGAGTTCAAATGATATTGTTGGTTTTACTAGTCTATCTAATGATATTGATTTAGCTGGTAAAAAATATGTTAATAGTAATTATGTTCATAATTTTAACGAAAAATTTATAAAAGTTTTAGAAGAAGGATTAAAAGAAATTTCAGATAGATTATATTCTATAGAATTCACAATTGAAAATAAATTATTGCTTAAAGATTAAATTATTATAATAAAAAATGCAATTATCCAGTTACGATCATCTAACCCAAGAGAATATTATTTTTAATGAACCTAAGGAGTACAAAGTAAAAGATAGCAAAATCAAATACAAACGTATTCGAATTGCAGTCAAATATTCAAATGGAAAGAAAGGAGCTGTAGTAATTGAAACTCCAGTTCTTTTCTCTTTTGGAGTAAATGAAAAGAAAAACCAAGAAACAAACAAGTTAGTAGGTTACTCTATGCCAGTATGTCTTTGGGCTAAAGGTAGTGAGCCGAATACTAAAGAAAAAGCATTTTTTGATGTTATTAATAATATAACAACTGCCTCTCAACAATATTTAGAGAGTGAATACGGTGCAGATCTAGCATCAACTCTATCTTCACCATTATATTTTAAACAGGAAGAATATATGGATAAAAAAGGAAAGAAGAAAACAAGAATAGATCCCTCATCCGCACCAGTTCTTTACGCAAAACTGATTTACTCAGAAAAATCAAAGAAAATTCTTTCACTATTTAAAACAAAAGGAAAGAAAGATTTAAATCCTTTTAAATATATCAATCAGTACTGCAATGTTAAAATGGCTTTGATTGTTGAAGGAATCTTTATAAGTAAGACTGTAACATCTTTACAAATAAAAGTACATGAGTGCTATGTCAAACCATTAAAACCAAGGGAATCTTTACTAACAATTGAAGAGGAAGAGAGTGAGGGCGAAGAGATAACTGATCAAGTAATTGAAGACTTACTTTCATCTGATAAAGAAGAAAATGAGTAAATAATAGGATTTTATTTTTAATACATTGAAAGAATAGAATGACCCTTAAAAAGCACTATTTTTTCTTTCAAAAGGTTCGAAGGTGAAAACAAAGTATAAATCAGCTTAAACAGTTCACACCAAACACTTTTCGGAATAACCAAATTTAAAAATTAACTTCTAAATGTCCAAATAGAGAATAGAAGTGATGACGTCACAAATACTACAAAATTTGTGAAATTATGGGATTGGTTGGCATATCCAGTAAGAACAAGATGAAAAATTTTCACTCACCAAAAATCAGCCTGTTGGGGCAAGCTGGTGAGATCAGATATAAGCAACATTATGCAAGGCAAGTATAGATGAATTTGTATGGCGTTATCAGGTGCTTATATCTACCCACCAATTAGCATTGACAGGCTGGTTTTTGGCATTTAGGAGTTTTTTGCATCTTATTCTTTCTGAATATGCTAACCAATACCACAATTTCACAAATTTGAATTTGATGTCACGCTTCTCTATTGAGCTACAGTGTATAATTGCGAGGAAACTAAGAACCAGAATAATAAAAGCAGTGTTGCAGGTTGAATGACGTTGTTGTCATTTTCACACTTGAAATAGAAAAACTGTCTCAAAATCCATCTAACTAAACAGATAAACAGACAGACAAAGTCAGATGGATTATTTGATGTCTACAATGAACACTGTTCTGAAATCAGATTAAGACATGCTGAAAATCTCTTCAGAGATGGATAATCCATCTGCAGTCTTAAAACAGCCAAGACTGTGCCAAATATAAAGAACTACATGCATACTGTAAATAGAGAAAAAAAGCCCAGGGTAACCGTGAGGGTAAGAAAGATGAATGAGTTTCTGGTGTAGCATGTTTCATGACTTTCATGTGGAATGGCATAGTTAGATGTGCAGCTGTATGCTCAATGAAATGTAATAAGAAATCAGCAAATTAAGAGGCACATATTGTAAATTTCTTCGAGACATTTATTATATTCTGCTTAATTTCACCATCGGGCAAGTCGTGCCACATGCCATTACCCCAACCAATGCTGCCATTTGCCCTCACCATTGGGCTACCGGGTAATCTTACATTTGTAGTTCTCACACAAAAAATTAATAATTTTATGCTAGGCACACTGATGTTGTGTTAGTTGGGGGAGTGAAATATAGTTTGGTGTGATACCATTTAAAATCTTCGGTGAAAGTTTGAATCCAAATAATTGTGTGAAATATATTAACATTGAGATAAATAATATTATTTACATGTATATTGATAACATTTTTGAGAATCAAGCAATATAATTTAAC